AGGACATATTTCATACCTGTAAGGCCGTTGAGATACGGAGGGAGGACACGCCGCGAACCAATAGCCCGCGGTGCTGGGACTTTGCCTTTGCACTCCAGCACCTGTCATCGTAACCCCAGCGTCGCGGTGCGGTATCCCTGGTAGTGGTACATCCAAGCCTTGTCTTAAACCCCCCCACCTAGAAAAGCAAAAGCTGGAAACGCGAATCTTGGAGACATGGCGCCACGTCTCTGGGCTTCTCCACAGTGGCTTAAGACAAGCAAGGATGTGCTGCCGGACGTCCGGGATGGCGCTGCTAGGTGCTGCCACCTTTGGATCTCACTGGCAGAGGGGGTTCCCGCGCCCAATGGCTCAACCGCCATGTCGGATTGACAGGTCTCACCACGAGACACAGCACAGCTGGACGTCGCCGACAATGGCTTCCATTTGCGCCTCCACCGCCACAGCTGACCACTGCTTGTATAAAGTGCATTTTTGAGGTAGCGGCCTCGATGAGTAACTATCGAAGCAGTTTCAGCTCAGTCTCGATTTGCACGTGTGATGTTGGTCGTGGTAGGGCCAGCAGTGCTACTGCAAGTTTGGAGTGGCACAGGGCGCGACAAGAGCGCCTCGGCAGCCGGAAAGCGTTTCATGCCTCTGCTATGTGGAGGGCGTTGGCCAGCCAAACTAAGAGCTCGAGCCGTACCGCGTCCCACCAGAATTGTTGAGCCATTGGAGACCACAAGGGAGAAACTAAAAGGTGACGAGCTGTTAGCGGTGTTTCCGGTTTAAAGCCAACATTCGGCGAGAAATCGCCATGGATTGCGAATATTTACCTGTCTCCTCCAGACATGTAGCTGCATATATCGTACCTACACGTACGAGGCACCTGTATGCATCAGCGTCCAGTCGAGGAAGCATGGGCCGTGAAGCGCCATTTGTTAAAGCCTCGGATCCTTTTCCGCAGCGGCGGCGATAAGCGTCCTAGCCCATTCGCTGCGGCATGTCAAACCTGGCGTGAGAAGGTATCTCGGCCAACCTTTTTCCGCATCGTCGGATAAGATAGGCGGTGGTCATGTCTGTATTGCCCTGGGCGAGCAGCTGAAGTCAATGGAGGCATCAGAGGCCTGGCCCTTTGCGAAGCTGGCTCCATGGCGGCTACTAGCTTAGCGCACGAGCCTGCTTTTGGAAGCGAATCAATCCCAGGATGTCTGGGCTGGTTGGGTTGTCGACGAGCGAGACAGCGCGAGGATGGTGGTGAAGAAAGCTCGTATGAGTGCTCGTACTTGTACATGTCAGACGGACCGGGCTGACGATGCGAGGTGTTGCTGCTAAATCCTTACTGCGGCCTTGGGAGCTAGAGGAGGTAAGATACCTACTGACTGGGTAGACCTGCGTCTGGGTAAGTACTGGGTTAATAGGTAGCTTGCCTAAGAGGTGAAGCCATCTCGGCGTCTCCAAGTGGTGCAGCGAGAATGCCTGTATTGAGCTCCATCAAATTGTTTGAAATCAACCTGAAATGGACTTGACATTTCAAATTGACAGGCTTCCCTGCGGCCGTCCAGCCTTGGAAGGGACCTGGGCTGTCACTGTCTCCTTCCTGTTGGCTCCGAGCTGCTGGAATGGCAACTGCCTCTAACGGGAGTCGATCTCAGGTGCAGCAGGCGTTAGACCGCAGGCACTGTACAGTACATGCTCGTACTAGCCCGGGACTCGAGTAGCGTTAACGTGGCCTACCCCACGTGTTGGCCCGAACCAGCACCCGCTAGGTACCTCTTAGCAGCTGAGGGGTACGAGTGCAGTACAGTGACTGAGCGAGCTTTGGAGCTGCCATCCATGTTCAGTTGGCTTCAAGCTCCATCCCTCACCTTCACCTTGGACACATGCAGCAGAAAGGCGCTCTCTACCAAGTACAGGATCCAATCAATCTCATCAAAATTCATCAAAAGCCCAGGCTAATTGCTCCAAGCATGACTTCGCTCAGTTTAGGGCTGCACTACTGTAGCCAAGGCACGATTCAATCATCGACTTCGACGGTGGAGTTCTCTTGATGCCCTCTATTCACCTCAGCTCATGTAGCTAAATGGGAGTCGCTGATTGTGGCGTCACAGATGGGGCACAAGTTTTTGGCACCTTCAGTCACATTTTGCCAGCTTCCTGGATTTGGCTCGACTCGATTCTTCGGCATGCCAGGCGAGAATAGCCTAAACCGGGAATCAAGGCAAGGGGAGCAGAGTGAAGGGAGACAGACAGCGCCTGGGCTCAGCATGCGGCGAACAAGGTGCCAGGTGCGTCAATACAGGCTCTTGGTCCGGAGGATTGCACTTCAAATAGGCGACTCCGATGGTGTTCTCCATTGTGCCAAGCTGGAGCCATGGATGGTGCAGGCTGGGTCTCGTGACAGGGCACGCCTGCTGATCAGCGCATACAACAGCATTTAGCGACATCAACCCAAAGCGCCCTCCTGCTAATGGCGTCGCCATCCCTGCTTCTGCTTCTGTGCCTGGCCCTGACGACGATCCATTGATTGCATGGAGTTGCAATCAACAGCAACAATACCAGTGCCAGTGCAGTGCCAATGCCAACATCACATCAATATCAGTTAGTACCACTCACTGCTATCGCCGAAACCCGCTTCCGACATCATTGATTAGCAAGCCCGCAACAGTTCATGGCACAGAAACGTGGTCCAAAAAGGTGGATTAATTGGGCCAATCCGTGACGGGCGCATGCACCAGACTCTGGTGTTTATCCTTATTTGACCGCGGCCGCTGGAGAGGGGGGAAAGGGGGGAATAGAGCAGCTCTTCGCGGGGCATAATGATACCATGAGGAGCAAGCTCGTGGCATGCCGATGACTCTATTGCGGCATGCGGGCAGCCCGAACGGTAAGCATCTGCATGATGCTAGGAGCGTGTCTTGAACTCTGATTAATTACAGGTAGTATCAGATCAGAGCGATCCAAGAGATAACCGGCAGCCAGCTCTTTATTGGCCTGGCCCACAGAGCACGACGCCGTTGATGCTGATGCCGGCCACCAGCCCTTGGTTCCCTCGCGACCCCACCTCCTTTGTTTCCCCATATGCCGTGGAGCCATGGCTACGGTATGTTTCACCTGTTTTGCTGGTGGAAGGAATAAACCTGGCGGCGTCCATACTCGTACAGACGAGTGCTTTTCGAACATCAAACAAACACTGCGCCAATGTCTCGTTTCGGGGACGGCGCCATCATTGCTTGCTTGCTTGCTTGCTCTTACTAATTGAGCGTCGGCTGGCATTGAGGCTTTGGCTTAGTAGGGACAACTAATCTACCGCCTTTGTCTGGTGGCACTGCAGCTATCTACAGGCACTTTGCGCTCTAGACCTGGTGCCGATAAGAACAAATGACGCCAGCCCGTTTCCATTCTGAAAGATGTGCCTCCGTTCGGGGCACTAACTTGGAATGATCCAATGTTAATTGGATTATGCAAAGCCATGGCTTGGTAGCACCTTTAATTAGCATCTGCTCTGTTCTTGGCCTGGCTTTTACAATTCCCAATTTTTTCTCCATGCTGCCTTTCTCTCGTTTAACAAAGTCCTCGTCTCACCGTTAGCCCCAGAGGCTACGCAATCCTCGCTGGGCTAGACAGGGCTATCCTGGAGCTGCCGCTTGTCAATCCTGGACGCCAGCCCTGGCAACCTGGTTAGCAAGGGCTCGAGTGCCGCTATTAACTTCCCGAGCTTCCATGCGGCACAGGCACAGAGGGCGAATTACCCCGTAAAAGCACAGGCACCCTCGGAACTTGCTGACCAACGAAAACGTCAAGTCTCGCCATTCTCTTGGTAGCCGAGAGAAGGGGAAGAAAAAAAAGAAGAAGAAGACGAAGAAGAAGGTGACCCCTGTGAGGTGCGGCGATTCCTCGTGTGGATACTTTCAGTGCTGGTGTATTGCTCCATATAGACGGAACAAAAAAAAGTGAAGCGAGGAGCACCTGTGCCACCGAGATGGGAGACCAATACTGGCAGAGGCAGGCCCCGGTGAGACAAAGCTAGAGGCGACGCTATACAACGCAAGGATCGTGACCAAATCGAAGGAGATGCGTTAGCACAGTCCCAACGCGCGTTGTTCTCAGCAGAGGTGCTGGCCTTGGGCGTTTAGTCACCCCAAGCCCAAGCCCTTCCTGGCCATGGTGTTGCGGTTTGGCCAATGCCCTGCCCCGGCCTGGGCGAATGAAGACTACCTTGGCTGAGGGGAACCTCCCTCGGTACGGACAACTGAACTCTATACCGGCACAACTGGACACCTTACGGACACGCGACTGGCGGCTCCCTGGACTCCCAAGGGTGGTGCTACGGGTGCTCGTACTAGCACAGGCATTGCTTCTGCTAGCACCAAGTGGTGTGCCGGTACATGTGCTCGAATGTGTGCAGTCCTTCGTATTTTGTACGTGATAATGGTACTCGTACAACCCATGGAGCATAAGCCGCGCAGCTTTGTTTCGGGTGCCGGTTGGTCTGCAGTCTGTCTAGTCACTCTAGTGTCCTGCACGAAGCTCAAGTGCCTGATATCCGTTTCTAGCCACGCGCAGCATCTTTGGACCACCCCAAGATGCCGCGGGGATCACGACTAGCGAGCACGGCACCGTCTGGCGACCCATTGACGTGGTGTCGTCTGTCGCGACGAGAGCTCGGAATTTCCTGTTCTCGAATCCGCCCCTCTGCCTCCATTTCCGTGCCGAAGCAGCGCTACTGGTACACTCCACGCTGGCGACGGGACAAGAGTGGCGCATGGGACCTTGGAGAGACAAGGACGCACTAGATGCCCTGGATGGGACAATACCTCGCCGGCCTCCTTTGTTGGCTGATGGACACTCTGCCCGCAGCGGTAAAAGTACCAGACACGTACCCGTTTCGTACGAGTACGGGCACATGTCCTCGTCCACAGAGCGATTTGCGTGTTGGTTCTGGCGTGCCAAGGCCAATAACTTGGGAGCCCGCCTCGCCATGAACCCAGCGACTCGGACATCAGCGTACCTGAAGAGGAGAGGATTAAGGTCTCGGCCGGTGCTAGATGTCAGTGCTAGGTACCCGACAAGGGCCGGAGCTGAGTGGGTTCGTTGTTGGTTGTGTCAAAATGCATCAACTGGAGCCAATATCCTATCTGTCCCTCCACACGGTCTGGTACTCGTACCTGTACCGACGTCAATATCGGTCTGGTACCTGCCTGTGCCTGTGTCTGTGCCGGGCACGCGGGACTCGTACCTGTACAAGCCGACCGCGATAGTGAACTGAACTGGATCGATGTGACCAGCCCGGCAAAGTCAGTACAATACCGGTATAGACTGGAGAGGTGAGTATAGCAGCCCAGCATCCATTGCCTGGCCCTCCCTGTCCGCCCTGCGCCCGTGTCACCCTGACTACTGTAAAACGCTCTCGCAGTGACATGCCGACAATCAAGACCGACGACCGTGGTTTTAAGGCCGTCGACGGCCCTAAGACCCTGGCCAGGTGGGTGTAGCATTTGGGCGGCCGCTAAAGCTGGCGTCGCTGCTAGCACGACCGCGGTGCCCTGGAGCAGCGCCTGTAGCCGGGCTAGAACCTGACCTTGGCAGCTAGGGCCACTGCTAGCACTGCAGCCCGCGACGCTCCAGGCATCGCCGCACCGGCACCCCAGCCTGCGGCCTCTAGGGCCTCTAGGGCTTCCAGCACGTTTGGCCTGGCGGGCCGGACGATCGCTGGCTTCAATGCCCTTCGTCGACCAGGCAGTTCCTCGCTGCATGCATGGCAACGGGGCCAAGAGAAGCAAAAGAAAAGAAAAGAGGGAAAAAAGGGAACCAGAAAGAGCAGCACCCCGGCCTGCGCCTGCATCTGCGTCTTGACGGGAACCGGCGATTGGCCCAGCAAACCGCTGCGTTCCAGCTCCCTGCCTGCATCAGAATCCCAGCGAGGCTCGTCCGCCTTTTTCGCTTCGACCATTTCCTCACCTCCAGCCGCTGCATCTGCATCTTACAAGTACCCGACGCATGCCCTGCCTCGTTCGTTGACTGCTGGCTGACTGCTTTTCGCTGCTTATTCCTGTGCTGTCCTGTCCTGTCCTGTCTTGTTTGCTGTCCGCTGCTCTGTCTCTCTCCTTTTTCTACATCCTCCTCTCGCGTCTGTCCTCTCGTCTCTTCTCTTCTGCTCCTCTACTCTTCTCCTCACGCTTCTCGCTACTATCCCGCCTTTTTCGTCTGCTTCGCTCAAATCCTCCCTTGCTCTCCTTGATTGGCCATCTGACGGGCGCGCTCTTCTGCGACGCTGCTGACACGCCAGCCGGTTGGCACCAAGGAGGCTACCGTCCAAAGTGGACTGGCCAACACCAGAAAAACGGCCGCGAGTAAGAAAGCGACAAGAGAGACATCTGCTGTCTTTGTGCGGGGCCGGTCCAGCTGCCATCGTCCTGGTGGGTGCCGTTACTAATTGGCCCGTTCGATCCTCTGTCTTTTGATCTCATATCAACCGGCACATCCTCTCCGTCCTCAACTTGCAAGCAGCTTTCTGCCCTTCTCCCGGTGACTGCCGCTCCCACCCAGCCCGACTTTTGACTCTCGTTTCACTTCGGGCCCGGATCTGATTTTCTCCTTTGGCCTCGTTGGTGTTTTCTTAGAGTCCCAAGAACTCTTGGCTCTAGTCTACGGGCGTAGTTTTTCTTTTCTTTCTTTTTATAAAGAAGAAAAAGAAGGGATCCATCTTGCAGCGTTGCGATATTCTGAGCTTGTCGCCCGTACTACCACGTCGAACTTTGTGTGCCCATGCCGGAGATAGCTAGACATTGCTACACATAATTCTTGCTGCCTCTCCCCTCTGCATCTTGGCCATAACGATTTGTGGCGACTTCTTGTTGAATTTTCCCGACTACTTGCCATTCTTGTCTTGTCCTGTCCTGGAGACCGCAATTCCGTATCTGGAGTCAAATCACACCGTCTCTATCTAGCTCTAGTCTTCATCTGATTCGTCCGATACCACGGCTTCTACTACCTATAAATCGATCGGCTGCGCCTGTCACGAAACAAATCTCGTCTCTTCGGTCCTCTTGGTATCATCAAGCAGCAAGGCGTTTGAGCGCATCTGTTTGTCCGGCTGTATCCTTTTGCATTAGATCTGCCTCCGAAGCTTGGAACCAACGCCAACGTCGATATTGCTCTGTCTGTTTCTTCATCACCGCGATCCGGCATCGTCCAACTTGCTTGCAACCTCTTCTTCTCGACATTAGCTGCTACTGTTACACAGCCTCGCCGGTCCTTGCACGCTCGGGTACAACAGCATCCTCGCACACGCCCTCCCAACTGCCAGCAGCACCATCCCAAGAGATCCTGTCCTTTCACGACATGCAATAATCCCACCTATCGTCTTACTTTTCAACAACAGCACACCACCACCTTGATTGCTCCATCCTCTTTGCGGCCTCTGCGCTACCTTGAGAGCACAGACTGAAATATCAACCGTCTCACCCCTTTGAAAGCACCACGTTGGTAGCACAGCATCGCGAGACAAATAAAATTCTCTCCGATTCTGCAAACCGGGTTACAAAGTACAAGGTGGGCAAAACATTACCGCCGGCGCTAGTCTCTGCATCTCTGGCCTCGCTTTTCGGCCTATGCAAACCGAGAGTCGTACCAAGCAGAGCCGAACTACGTGTTGAATCTCCTTGGGGTCCCTTGGATATTTGTTAAATCTCGCCAGTCTGCGCTTCGCCCGTACTGCCGCAAACCCAGAAAACGCTCAACCTATCCAGCCATGGTTCAAGACTGGACCCGGGATTCGTTCCCCCGTCACCCGACCTTTCAGCCTCAGTACTATCCGGCTGATGGAACCACTGCGCGCCACCAGTCCTTTTCTTCTGAGAGATACGCCTCCGATGTTGTTCAACGACACCACTCCTTCCCACAGGAGCGCGTTGGTGTCGAAGCTGACAATGCCCGTTTCCAGGAGGGCACTGACTCGCGTCGCCCGCCACTCATGGTAAGTTGCATATAACGTGGTCGACCTCGAGTCTTTTCTGACAACATTCGAACAACAGCAAATCGACGAGGCACTGAGAACCCACTGCGGCATTGTTGCCAAGCACTATTTTGTTGCTGCCATTAACGAAGATGGCGCGTCCATGACCTTCTTCAGTCCCAGCCCGGGACGTGGGATGACGGACAACACCATCCGCCAGTTCTTTGATGCCAGCAGATACCGGCAGGTCATGTCTCGCATCGATGCAGGTAAGACTTTCTATGAACCAGCCTCTCGACGGATTGCTAATGTAGTCATGAAAGGTGCGGACCCCATGCTGGACGACTACAATCTTGAGGACAGCTTCTACAACCGCCCTGCTGCTTTCAACCGTAGTCGGATGATTGATGGCCGCCGCCGCAACTCTGGATTTGGTGACTGGAGTGGCAGTCCCATCCGCCAAGGGCGCAAGCGCGTCAGGGGAACCCGAGCCGTAAATGACGAAGACGATGTTCCCATGACGGTCTCGTCTCGTAGAGGCATCAGAATCGGTGACCCCCACGCTGTTTGGAGCTTCTATGAACAACGGTTCAAAAACTGCCAGCAAACGGCCTGCAAGCTCATTGCCAAGGCCTGGGTCAAGGCCGTGGAGCCCAAGAAGCAGTCCACCCACCCTTACACCGGCAGCGACGAGAAGGCGCCTGCCTGGTGGCCAAAACCGTGGGGTCCTACCAAGGACGACAAGGTCCGGCACAAGGAGCCAGACCACTTATACAAGCGAGGTTAGAAGATCTTCCCCCTTGAAAGCGCTCGAAGAATGGGCGGAGGCTAACTAAGAAGCAGAGCGTGTACATCTTCTCGCTCACATCCTGAGACTGGTTGTTGAGCCCAACGCAAAGCAGCATCCTGATATCCAGAAGCTTGGCTTGAATGTGAAGAAGCTCGAAGAGACGACCGTCGAGGCCCTGTCGTCATTTTTCATGGACAATGAAGCCAACGCCAAGAAGAGGCCATTCCTGAACGAAATCTTCAAGGTGGCTCGTCAGGAGGAGCGATACAAAAATGGCGAAATCGGTAAGCTGATCCAATCAAGCTTGTAACTTTGCTTCTTGTGAATACTAACGGCAAAAAAAAGATGGTACGACTGAGGTCTATGTCATGGCAGAAGACAAGATGCCGGAGAGTTACGCTTCGGACAATGAGGAGGCTACTTACATCAAGGATGAAGATGATCATGAGGCTAGATCCAAGCCGCTGGCTGCTCAGTGCCTCCCTCACCCGGCAGGATCAGAGCCCAGCTCCGCGACAAGTATTCGCCCGCCCACTTTTATAAATGACATGACAGTCAGGGCCAATGCGTTCCCGCCGTCCATGATTACAGAGCTTCCCGCACAGCCGCATACATATGTCGAGGGTGGCACAATGTCTGTTCACAGCAGCCAGCCTGTGGCTACCACAGCGGCTACCAACATCGCTCTCGACATGGTTCCGAGCCCTCATGACGCCAGCCGACGGCCGTCAGTGTTCAGCGACTACGCTAGCCCTGGGGGAATGTACAGCCAACAGTGGCCACAGGCATCAACGAACACCAACGCATCGACCATGTATCCCTATGCACAGCAGCAAACTACCACACAGTCAGCATCGTTTGTCGGCTCCGGGGTTTCTATGACATCCAATCAGACCTTTATACCCAATTCTTTTGAAACACCACACCGGAACGAATACGACCAAACCGGAGCTCCGATATTTCGATCAGGGGATTTGTCTCAGGCACCCCCAGTCACTCAGCAGCAGGGCTATGGCTACACAATGTCGAACGATACCCGGGGAATGAGAGTCATGACCCAAGTTGTGGATGCCGCTGGACATCGCCCGTCTCTACAATAGAGGGAGAGGGGTTTCTAGTACCAAGCGGACATCAATAACGCAAGCGTTGTTAGGCATTGCGTGCAACTATGCTGGCCTTGGGCCTCACGATGGATACGGCGGCCTGGTCTAGACAGTACAGGGCGCAAAACACACCACAAGGCACATGACTTTTTGTGTGTGGATTTTCTGATTTTTCCTTCTCGTTACTTATTCCCAATTAGTACGAGCCTTGGCGTTTACTGGGCTTTCAATAGTCCGCAGGGGGGCTTTCTATTCAACAATTGATATCTCGACAAAGCAGGCGGAATCACGCTGCCTCTTTTTCTCCTCTTTTTCTCTCTTTCCCACATTCTCAAGGCTATCCTCTCTTGCCTTTAACTTTGTTTATGTTTGTTGTTTGCGAGCGTGCTCTCGCGATGGGTGGATATTTGCCTCTGGCGGATGCTTTTAATGAGTTTCTGCGATAACGGTCGCCTGGCGGGCACAGCCTCTGATTTTTCAAAACGTAGTTTTGGTTTGGCACTTTTGAGACTTGACGCACGCAAGCGTGACGATTGCAATGTCGGAGAGATTTTGGGCATTTCATTGGAGTTTTGTTTCTAATCAACCTGGATGCAGATGGGATGGGCTGATACGAAGAAGATGCTGGGTGGCTATGAGATGTAGAACGAAACAAACGAAGCGAGCGAGCGAGCGACTGTCATATTTTTTTTTTATATCTCGTTTCATTTTGGAAGCGTCAAGTATCTTGGGAAGAAAATTGGCTTTTTTCTTGGGCGGGTATACGGATTTTGTATTTTGTTTCTTTCATATGACAGTAATTAATCTTTGATGTTATTGTTTAATGGGTATATGTGCATGGCACAGTGATGAATGAGTTTATATCTTTGCAATTTTGATCTCCTTTCTTGAGGACATTGTCCCTTTTTTTTTTTTTTTTTATGACTGTCATGCTTTGTAGCTGTTCTCTAACACCAGTGAACTGGAGAGGCCTCTACTGATTCATTGGAGGAAAATGGGACATGTCTTCGCTGGAGAAGCCACAAACGTGGAATTTAATTGCACATCGTTTCTTGACCAATGATGATCCCTCGCGGGAGAAGATGAAAAGGGGGGCTGTATACATGAGGTCTTGGTGTCGAGCTGCTTGCTGGGTTCGGCACGTATGGATGCATAGCCGCGGGCTGGGGGGGAAGGATAACTTTGCATGGATATATGCAGGCAGCGAAGTAAGGGTTAATCGAAAGTGTGTGCGTGTCACTGGTTGGAGAAGATTGCTGGTTTGGAAAGACAACGACGAGGGAAGAAACGAGGCGTGTACCTTTTCTTTTTCGTGCAGGGGTACATTTGTGTGTGTGGTCTTTTGTCACTGTGATGCTTTGCTAACTAACGAGGGACATGACATGGGACGTGGTGGAGTTTTTTTTTTTTTTGACCACGGAGAGATGCCGAGCGGGAATACTGTAAGAGAAGGGGAGGGGGGCCATGACGAACTGGTTCTGGGATTTTGCTGGGCGGGGATCGGGATCGACGGGAAGGGAGGGGGGGATGAAAATGTGATGTGGTATAAGTGATTGATTTGGATTATGCGTGTGCGTGCGCTGTTCTTTTTTTGTTTGAAAGTTTTTTGGTTTGGCTGGGGTGTGGTTTGATGGGATTAATGAGGGGAGTGTGTATGGGAACTTTGGGAGCAAGTACGAGTAGAGTACAGGTATGTTGGACGGCAAAGAATGGATGCTGATAGGCATTTGGTCTGTGTAGGGTTTTTGACAAATTACATGTGCAGTGGGTGGTGTAAGTATGTGTGTTCCAGGAAAAGATGCCAGGGTCGAGGGGGGAGAAAGAAGAGAGAGAGGCAGAGAAAGTGATGTGTCATGTAATCTGGACGCGCACTTGGACCAGGCACGGGCTGCGGTTGGTGAGGTGCAGTAGCTTTGCTGTATACATGATTCAGGACAGAGGCTACTAAGGCATGTATGTCTGAGTGTGGAAGAGAGAGTGGTGTGGTGGGTGGGATGGGATTGGAGGAAGAAGGAAGTTGAGTGAAGTGTGTTCAGCTGGCTAGGGGGCTTGCAGGATAGGACAGGAGGGCTAGAACCGGGAAAGGGAAGCGAGGGGAGGGGAGAGAGAGAGGAGAGCAAGGCTGGATGGAGGTTTGATATGGGCTGGTTTTAATGGTTTACATTTAGGTTTTGCAGGATGGACTGGAAACTATCGAGGTGGTATTGGGGGAGTGTGGGCTCTCCTGATCCGGGGATGGGTGGGAGTTGATTTGCTCAATGGAGTAAGGAGAGGTGAGGGTCCACATTGAGAGCGTCATGAGCCTCTCTTACATGGACGAGAAGGTGTTGATTGCTGCTTCTCTCTCGCCAGTGCTCTTCGGGTACTCACTCGGGTACTCATAGATGCAGAGCCAACAACTGATTCTACTCAACCCCAGCCGTCCCCTCCAGGCATCCTCATTCCCCTCAAAGCAGCGCTATTTTTCACAGCTCGCGTAAAATGTGCGTGTCAGGTTAAGAAGAAGAAAAATCCCAGTCCCGCAAAAAAAACCACAGATCCCTACCAGTCTCTCACGGCAGGGTCGGGAAGGGGATTAGAAAAAGATGGTGAGCGGTCTGGCCCGTCTCGCCTTATTTTCAGATATGAATGCGTTTGAGTACGTACAGTAGTTTTTTGTACCGGTACCTCTCTTCCGTGGGGGATCAGAAGATCACGGTGAAGATGGTAGTATTCTTGTCTTGTTCTTGTCTCTCGTCTCTGTCCTTGCTTTGGTTTTAGTTGCTTTGTGGGGCTGGCCAGAGTTGAACTTGACTCTTCTTGTATTAACGTAACGGCAGCTTCTTTCGGATCGGGAATCGGAGAGATTGAAGCTTTAGAGGCTCCGGATGGGGGGGCGAAGAGTGGCCTGATTCCGGGCGTGCTTGGTGCAATCTCTTGGCGATGGTGTGGCAATCCCTACAATAGAAGCGTTGGTAGATGCTAGCAGCTGCTAGTAGATGCCAAGTAATGCTTGTTGGAAGCAGCAGCAAGTCTATCATTCCCATCTCCGGCTTTGAGGTTGGCGTATCCAAGTATAAGCTGACTGTGGGGACTTTTTCATACTCGTACATACATTTGATGTCTTTGCTCTTACACGCGCCAAGATAAGAGAGACTACGAGGAGATTTTCTTTGTGGTTCAGTATCAGACTATGAGTGTTATTCATCATTAAACTTGTCTGGTGGGAAAAAAAGAGGTATTGTTACGATTCATATTTTTGATTACTACTGTATGAGTACCGAGCAACTGCATCTTCTTTCCGGCTTCGTTGTTAAACCCTGCAAGGCGTCGATCAACCTAGACAGATTCCTCTAAACAAGGCACCCAACCAACTGTTCCATTCATTCTATCCGAACACAAGTACATGTACAAAACCAAAGATAAACGCAAACCCATGTCCCAATGTCACCGTATAATGTAATATCATGTCATTCAGAGGTACA